TTGCCGCCCACCCCCAACTAAATCGAAGGCAGCGAAAAGAACCGTCGCTGCCCCGTGCCAGGTCGAGCCCCAACAAGGGACACCGGAGGTTGTGATGAAGGAACCTTGATGGCTTGCAATCACAATCTCCTTCAGGGCAACTTGAACCACTCCGCCGGTGCACAGGACCTTTTCCTTCAGCACCTGGTGGAGTGGCAGATCGGTCTGGCAGTGGTCGCGGAGCCATATTTTGTCCCCAATGACCACCCGAATTGGGCAGGGGATGTGGACGGCCTCGTGACCATAGTTTCGGGGGGAGGAGCTGGCAGTCCTTCTCTCGTCCTCAAAGAGTCGGGGCGGGGCTACGTGGCCGCCACCTGGGGAGGGTACGCCTTCGTTGGCGTGTACTTCTCCCCCAACAAGCCCCTGGCGGCCTTAGAGGCCTATCTTGAAGCCCTAGGTCCCGTGGTCAGGAGACTGGCTCCCTTGCCGGTCTTTGTACTCGGGGACTTGAATGCTAAGTCCTCCAGCTGGGCAGCGCGGTCACGGATCCACGTGGGAGAGCGGTGGAGGAGTGGGCCGCTGAATTCAGCGTGACTCCGGTCAATCGGGGCACAACCCACACGTGCGTGCGTGCGCAGGGCGGTTCGGTGGTGGACGTCACGTTCGCCACCCCTGTTGCTGCGCGCCGTGTGAGGAACTGGCGTGTCCTCGACGTGGAGACACTCTCGGACCACAATTACATAAGGTTCGAGATCTCCACGTCCCCTGCTCCGGCCGAGAACTCCCTCCAACGTGTTCTGACGGCCTCTCCGCGGTGGGTTCTCTCTCGGCTGGACCGGCAACTGGCCGAGGAGGCCGCAACCGTCCAAGCCTGGTGCACTCCCTCCATCAGGCTGATGGACCCCGACTCCGCCGCGAGACGCCTCCGCTCTGCGCTGACGGCGGTGTGCGATGCGTCCATGCCCCGGGCGCGACGCCGCCCTCAGAGGCGGGCGGTGTACTGGTGGTCAGCGGAGATTGATGCGCTTCGGACCACCAGCAATAATGCAAGGCGACAGCTATACCGCTGCCGCCGTCGCGCCCGCAGGGATGTAATCGAGGAGGCTTTCCTCGATGAGCGGTACCGGGCGGCTAAGGCGGCCCTACGTACAGCCATCAGCGGGGCCAAGGCCGCGGCAAGGGAGGAGTTGCTGAAGGATCTCAACCGTGATCCATGGGGGCGCCCGTACAAACTGGCGCGGAAGAAGCTCCGCGTCCAGTCGCGCCCCATATCGGAAACCCTCCAGCCAGAGTTTCTGGACCGGGTCATCGGTGCTCTTTTCCCCTCCGACGGCTCGGACCACACTCCTCCAGAAATGGTCCCCTCAGAGGCTCAGGCAGAGGAGGACGATTTGGAGGCCCCTCCTGTCACCTCTGATGAATTGGAAGAGGCAGCGAGGTGCCTCTTGACAAAAAGGACGGCCCCGGGTCCAGATGGGGTCCCTGGCAAACTGGTAGGGATCGCCCTTAAAAGACTCGGGGATCAGTTTCGGGAAGCGTTCGATACAGCTCTAATTTCCGGGCGCTTCCCGAAAACGTGGAAGGACGGGGCGCTGTGCCTCCTTCGTAAGGACGGTAAACCGGAAGACTCCCCGTCCGGTTACCGTCCGATCGTCCTTTTGAGTGAGTCCGGAAAGATCTTTGAGCGAGTGCTCTCTTTCCGGCTCACTCAGCACTTGGGTGTCGACGGGCCCGGACTGTCAGACTGTCAGTTCGGGTTCAGGGCAGGGCGTTCGACACTGGACGCCCTATCTGCCCTGAAGTCGCACTCAAAGGAGGTTGTCGCGCGAGGGGGCAGGGCGTTGGCCGTCTCAATAGACATCGCCAACGCCTTTAATAGCCTCCCCCATGCAACCATAATGGAGGCACTCCGCCATTTCAGAGTGCCTCCCTACCTCCGGAGGATCTTGGCAGACTACCTCCGGTATAGAGAGGTAGTCTGCACTGGTGCTGGTGGAAGGAGTTTCCGCCGCCAGGTGTTGTGTGGGGTTCCACAGGGGTCGGTGCTAGGTCCACTCCTGTGGAACATTGGCTACGACTGGGTGTTGCAGGGTGCGCTGCCGCAAGGTGTACGCGCCCTGTGTTACGCAGATGACACCCTAGTCGTAGCCGAAGGAAGGACCTTCGGGGAGGCGGCGCGACTGGCCGAGGAAGGTACAGCCTTAGTCGTCAGTCGCATCCGCCTCTTAGGCCTGAAAGTGGCCCTAGAAAAGACCGAGGCCCTCATGTTCCATGGGCCTCGGGCAGGGCCTCCTCCGGGCGCGCACATTGAGATCGGTGGCGTGCGCGTCCCAGTCAAGGCCCAGATGAAATATCTGGGCCTGACGTTGGATGGGAGGTGGGGGTTTGAGGCACATTTCCGCGTCCTCACCCCCAGGTTGGTGGCCGCCTCAGCAGCTCTAGGGCGGCTTTTACCCAACCTCGGAGGCCCGAACGGGGGTTGCCGGCGCCTGTACGCCGGCGTCGTTCGTTCCATGGCGTTGTACGGTGCCCCAATTTATGCCGACGCCATCACCGCCACCAATAGATCGCTGCTCCAGCGTGCACAGCAGATCGTGGCGGTGAGGATAATCCGGGGCTACCGTACAGTGTCGGCGGGAGCGGCCTGCGCCTTAGCCGGAACGCCCCCTTGGGACCTCGAGGCGAAGGTCCTGGCCGCTATATACGAGGCTAGGACGGCGGCCCGGAGGGAGAACCGTCCTGCGACGAACGAAGAGCTGCTCCAAGTGCGCCGCGACGGCGAGGCGGAGATGCACAGGAGGTGGACCATGGCTCTCCAGGAGGCGAAGTACGGCCGGTGGACGATCGACGCTCTACTCCCCGTCCTCGAGCGTTGGTCGAGGCGCAAACACGGCGTCCTCACCTACCGGCTGGTGCAGGTTTTGTCCGGACATGGTTGTTTCGGACACTACCTGCACAGGATCGCTCGGCGCGAGCCGACGATGGAGTGCCACCACTGCGGAGACGTTGATGACACGCCACGGCACACCCTCGAAGTGTGCCCAGCCTTCAGTCGTCAGCGTCACGACCTCACGCAAGTGGTTGGCACCGACCTCGCGCTCTCGAGTATCCTGGCGTCGATGCTCGAGAGTGAGGAGAACTGGAGGGCCATGACCTCCTTCTGCGAAGTCGTCCTGATGCAGAAGGAGGAGGCGGAGCGGGTCCGAGAATCTAACATCAACTCGGACCAGATGCGCCGCCGCCGCCTCGGGGTGAGAAGGAGGAGGTACGCCCACCTCCTTCCGCCCACCTAGGAGGTCAGAGGGTGGACTGGTCGGGGGACCGTCCGCCCTGCTGTCACTGGCCTCCTGGAGGAAGGGCGCTCAAGTTTACCGGAGCGCCCTCACATAGGGAGAGACCCGCCTTAGGAGCGGGTCGCTGTCGCCGGGGCTACGAGGTAGAATGCGCAAGCGACCCCTTGTAGTCCCCTCATAGCGGCTGAAGGTAACCGGGTGGGTTTTAGCCGGTAAGAGTCCGGCATAATCACACGCCCCCCCCGGGGCGTGTGGTATCCATGAGGATTTCCCACCCGTTAAAAAAAAAAAAAAAAAAAAGGTTTTGTAACATTCCCTTAGAGAACCCTGCTGAGAAAACTGCACAGGAAGCGCCAACTGCACCAGGCGGCGATCTTGGATCCACTGAAATACCTAAAGATCTGCCATCTACCAAAACACCTCAATTTCACCCGATTCCTATTAATAATAATTTTTCTGTCCGAGATATTGGTTGGACAGCTTAAATGACGCATTTTAACAAAAAAATAATAAGAGAAGGATAGAAAAAAGGAGTGCTATACCTCATAAAATTTTAATCGTTTGCGAAAAAGTTCAACAGCATGCATGAGATACGACACCACATACAATATATTCTACAGATATTCGATAAATTCAGATGACTGTCAAAAATAAATTATACTTCACTACGTACAGGATAATCGAAACTGTTTTTTAGAAGCTGAGAACGAAAATGTAGGAGTCTGAAATCACGTCACTACCTGAAATATGTCGAATAGTAATTCTCAGACTAGCCAATACATTATTATATAAAATACTTGTTCACTATTTAAAAATTTGTATGTTATAGTCACAAAGAAAGAAAGTATCTGAACAACCTACTTCTTCTTGACTCTTTTTCTATAACGAATACGCACATACATAGACTCACACACGCAACAAATACACACACCCTCATAATAAACATTTGTAAATCTAGTTTTCAATGACAACTTAAATCTAAAGTCGTTTTACTGAAAACTAGGGCATAGGATTTAAAAAAAGCAATAACACATTTAAATACATTATTTAATGAAACCAAGCCGAGTTTACATTTGGTATACAATTAAGACGTGTTACAAAATTTTAGACTAGGGAATTTAAGACGTTTCGTGACTAGATACAAGCTTATACATACACTTAAAATCTAAAATAAATAAATTCTACTTAATGAGCTTCTTTATAAAACATTTAAACCTAGGACAAATAATATCAGAGAAAATATAAATGTTATAAAAAATTATGACTTAAAAGGAGGAATAATATTGGAATGCGAATTTATAACAACCTACATTGTACGATACCAGAAAATATACAACATTATAAATATAAGCGATTTAAATCTTATCCAGAAGAATGCCATACCAGGGTTATCCTTAGAACAACAGGTTTTATGAAAAGAATTGTTCAAATTTTGTTCCACATGCATTATCTTCTTATGAGCAATTTAAGCCAAATTCACATACCTATCTCATTTGACATAAAATACAAATTTTCTTTGGATATAAATACTTTCCTTTATACACACTGAGACCCAAACTTAAATAAATGTATACACTTATTCTATGAGTAAACATTCTTTATAGACCAATAATCAAATTCATAATAAAAAAAATACTAAAATTTAAAATGAAAATTACTCAGAACACAATATATTTTTTGCTCTTATGACGAATGCTTCTTTGTTGCTAGTAAGTAGATAATTTATTATGAGCATCCCCTGACTGACACATGTACTATAGGTCCGGGTAGTACTAACAGCCAGGCAATGCCAGGAGCGTGGTCGGCGGTCACACCGAGTCTCCGGTACACTCTGCCATCACTCCTAACAGCCCACACTTCATCACCCATACAAGACACGTGTTTAAACGTCCACTCGCAGTCTGTAAATATCGGTAGAGATTTGAAATTAGAAAACAATATAATTTTTATTTTGTCTTGAAATAAAATTTGGGAAAATAATCGTACTTTATTACGTTCGTATTCTGGTAGTATAAAGTTAAATATGAATATGGATAACAAAAGTCACAAGGTGTATCATTATACAAATAATTATTGTCTTTATTTTGTACATATTATGAAAAATATATGTAAATAATATAAAACTAACTAACTAACCCTGAAACTTGTTAGGTGTGGAATAGTATTTTTATATTTCAAATAATTTAACATGAAAGAGCTTAATCATTCTATGAGCTATCTACTGATAAAAGTCGTATCAAAATCGGTATATCCGTTTCAGCGCTTAGCCGAATCAAACGGATTTTTAAAACTTTTTCGTTATATATGTACATTAATAAATTTAAAAAAACGCCGGTATTTAAATATTACAAACAGACTATAGAGATAAAATTTTATTTATTTGTATTGATAGTGTACCTGTCAAATACTTCCACTGTTTGCCTGCTTCTTGATTTTTGTTTACTTCTGTTCTGACAGCAACATATCCATTAGTAAGTATTACCCACGCTGAGTTACTACTTAATGATACTAATTTAGCTCCCACACTAGTCTTTTGGTTGAATGGGAACGTGCACTTAGGTGTCTCTATAATTTTCCAACTTGAACCACCAGGTGTCTCTTTTGAAACTCCCTCTCTGTAGTACAATTCTCCTCTTCTTCCAACAGCCCATATCACATTATCACAGGTACTGATAGCTACAAACGTATTCGGACTATTTATATGTTCCCAACTTGTGCCCTGAAAAATATTTTGTAATAAAATAAATATAATTTACCTTAAGTTAAACTTAACTGTCTAATATAAGAATATTATTATTGTGACCCCAAATAAAAAAAAATAGTTAAGTTTTTATGTAGTTAAGGCAAACAATTTTAAAAATTATGTATCCACCAAATGTACTTTAATTTATTAACGGTAATTATATATATTACGCAATTAATAGGATTCATATTAATTTGAAAATGGATATGTTCACATTAATATGTTGCCGTGTATTTATAAATTATATATGGCCATCTCACAAACATATTAGTTAAAAATAAATACCGCAGGTGTAGCTGTTGTTACTCCAGTTCTGTATATTGCTTCACCACCTAAAGTCACAGCCCAAGCAGATGCTTCTTTGTTATTGGCCTAAAAAAATATTTAATTCTTTAATTGCTTATAAATTACAAATTTGCATTAATATTTGATATAATAATGATTATCTTTAAAAGTATATATGAGCAATTTACAAGGATTTAGGTATCATTAAATTAAAGCTTCTTTAAACATTAGATATATGTATTGTTAATTCAATTTTAAGTACAAAAACATTTTGACTTTTTAAAATATTAAAATGTTGAGCTAATGTTGATATTTTTATTCAAATATATAAGATCGTAAAATGTGCATATAATAACAAACCCATAATGATATATCAATGACAGCGGTGCTTCCAGCCCGGACCCATGGACCTTCAGATACAATCTTTGCCTTCCTATACCATCTGCGACGACGCACGCAGTCTGTGAACACTTTCTTTCCGTGATAGGGTGCTGGGAAGTCTGTGGCGTATTGCCAACCATCACTATCCACGCCACCAGGAGTATTGTAATCTATTATCCACTCTGAAACCTGTATATAAATACACTTGTAAATACATATTTCAATTACAACATGAGTTTTGTGCTTTTCTTTAATTTATTGGATATTTTTAGCTAGATATCATGAACCAGGGCCAGACTATGAACCAGGGCGAACGATTTCCTTGGAACTATTTTATGTTTTCATGCCTAGCATTGAATTATTACAGTTAAAAAAAAACTTTATACAGATGATTGCAATTAACGGTATCGTCTAATAAGCGTCTTATTTAATATCATTTTCTTGTAATTAAAAATAAACAATTTATTTAAATTCTTGTAAACAAATTTCAAGAAAATGGTTAAGAAATTTTAGGTGGAGAATAATATTAAATTTAATTCGTGAAATAAAATATACAAATTTTTATATCTTTGGAATTATAGAGCATCTCTTAAAATCAAAATAAATTTTTAGTGGTGAAGTAAAATGGGCCAATGAAGCGACGTTAATGCAAAAGGCAACTGTCCTAACTTTTAGCAAAATTTCTGTATTACTACTACACAATAAGGAACATTTTCTTACCCAATGCCAGTGCCGACTGAGTAATTTGGTGTGTTCACGTGTCCTTTTATGTTTTCCTGTAACATCACTCCACATATAACGATCGGTCGGGAGACCCGTCGATGTGTAGCCCGATAGTGGATTCCAACGTTGATTCTCATAAACACAATATGTTTGAGTATCGCTTATGGAATGTATACCCTCATTTCCACCGATTCCTGAAAAGTTACATAAACTACCTTTAGAATTAAAAAGAGAAACGTTTTAGCTTTCGTGTTTAAAAAAGTTAATAACTTTACCCTTAAGTACGCCACCGCCCCATCCTCCTGTATAGACCCAAGCACTATGGTCGTGTGAGATTCCCCACACGATACCGTTTTGACAACATTCTACTTTACGCAAATAGCCTCCCATCATTCGCCAAATCATTTCATCTGGACCAATAATTGGACTGGTCGAACTGTATTCCATTGTATAAAGTTTTAAGGGTCCCATTACTAATACTGACATTATAGTCTCCGGATTTAGTCTATGTTTGTAAAAGCAGAACTGCTTATCATTGACAATAACTTTGAACCCAGGACCATCAGATATTATTTTAATTAAAAATTCTTGACCAGGTTTCAAAGGCAACTCATATCTTTCTTCATTACCCCAATAACCTGATTTCTTTGTATTGCAAACAACTGTATTTTCATCAAACCTCAAATTAAAATGAAATGGTATATCACAAACTTCTGTTTCAATCTTATGTCTTTGTTTTAATACTTCTGGTCCTTGCAAATTTATGTGAAATCTATTGATGACGTCAAATAAACAGCCTGTTATTTTCAACATACTTCCTGAGGGGAAATTGTTGTGCAGGGTTGTGGTGTAACCATTAGTTATATCTTGATTGAACACTTGAAATTCTTTTATATAGCTGCCATTTTTTTCTGAATTTAATTGGGTTGAGGTCGGATCCCAATTAAGAACATCTCCTGAACTGGTTACCAACCAAACTGAATGACTGGATGGTTTGCCAGACAATCCATTAATTTGTGAGGTGATATCAACTAGTACACTTAACCACTCCTCTTGTTCAATTTCTGAAATGTACTGTATTTTTATTGTTTTCTGATTTTGGTATGGTATTGTCATTGTTATCCTTGGAGAACCAGGTTCAGACGAGGTCATTATACTCGTTATTTCTCTTAAATTTAATATAAATTTGATTGTGCCATCTGGTTGAAATACTGATAAGGTGCCAGCATTTTCTAATGCATGCCAATAAATGGAAACTATACAGTCTTCACTTATACTATCACTCACTAATCTAGCCTCGCAACTACGAGTCCAGCCTTTTTCTTCAATAGCCAAACCAAAATTACTGAGATCAATATCTTTATTATTTCTATTTTTCAAGGCATCCAAAATATCAAATCGCCATTTGGCATTTATATCACAATTGTGACCATTTTTGGAATCTGAGAACCAATGTGGTACCCGTACAGAATCTATGGAGCATGCTCCAGCCTCTATGAATGTCCATGTTGCATCACATGTACCCCAAGCTGCTTGACTAACCTCTTCATCGAAATACATACCTGAATCAACATCAAACACACTGCTATCACTATCAGGTTGAGCCTCCATACCCACAACTGACCCCACACTTCTAACGGGACTCCAAGCTCTAGGGTTTTTAAGAGTAGTTTCATAACTCTTCCCTGACAAATCAATATTTTCTAAGGCATTAGAATTCTTCTTAGGTCTTACTTCCTTGGATGGTTTCAATGGCAGAGTATTTTCGATAGGCGCAGAATGTGACTCCTCCCAAGAATTTCTTAAATTAATATTTGTTTTTAATTCTACAGCATTTTCATTTAATAAACTAAGGCTATGATGTTTTGTATTTGATGATGATGAAATAATACTGGCCGAGCTTGATGTGCGACTCAGTTGCATATTTGCCTGTATCATTCTCCATCTTTTTCCTGTAAGTTCAGTGGCTGTAATTCCACTTCTCCAGTAAATGCTTTTATTTGTTTCTCCAACAGCAAATACTTGATCATTGATGCCTACAGAAATATGTATCATATTACCATTAATTTCAAGCCATCCACTACCCATACAAGCTGTTTCTGAATTCCCTGCATAATAGCCTTCTATGCCTTTTCTAAACCACACTCTTGTATCAGAACTCACAGCCCAAACGACATTGTAACCAACTGATAATGAAGTTAATTTGGTTTCTGGCGGTGATTTTACTTCAAGCCAAGCTTCACCACTTGGACAATCTTTAGTTACACCTTTTCTAACAATAGCCCTGCCTGTCCAAAGTAAAGCCCACACTAAGCCTGTTGGACCTACAGATATCTGTTTTATATCACAGTTTGGTGGAATGCTTACATTTATCCATTTTTGTCCTTCAGGTGAAGTCGTGCTCACACCAACCCTGTACATGACCCTTCCTTGAGCTGTAATGGCCCAGACAGACAATGTCCCAGGAGAGGCATGCGGGATTTGATTACCCCCAATACTAACATCTATGAATGGCTCTTGCGTTGGATCCTTATGAAGTGGTGCTATAGCACACCAAGAATTCATTGCACTAAATTTCCTATATCTTATCCATTTTCTTCTTCGTACACATGATTTCCATTGTTTGACTGGAACAAATTGAGCAGGAAAATCTACTGCGTATGTCCAACCATCATGGTCCAAGGGTTGTCCATCTAATGTTAGCTCTAGCTGCCAGTCACCTTCCCACTGCCATGCCATTGAAGGTAGTCTAATACAATCTATTGATCTATCTTTGGTTCCATCTTGAGAAGAAAAGTGATACCGGTCTGTAGGAAGAAGCCTATCACTAAACCCATCTAAAGGAAGCCATCTTTCATTTTCATATGATTCTTCTTTAACCCTTATAGGTATTTCTAATCCATGTACATGAAGATATATCTGTCGATCCCCTCCAACAGCCCATAAAAAATGTGGTACAGCAGACAATGTTTTAAATTCCAATCCAAGATACATAAATTCTCTCCAACAAGACCCGCTTGTGGAGAGTGCATAAACTTTACCTTCATTATTAATCGAAAATAAAAGAGAGTTACTAGTCATTTTGGAAGTGTTGTTTTATGACCCAGACAGCAGGTACTTTTTTAAATTAGGAACTAGATACGCATTTTAATTAATCTTGGAAATTATATTTAAACGTAAAGTTTTCGGAAAAGAGAAAATTGTTATAACAATAATTTTTACAATTTAGTTGTTTTTGTTATGTGGATCAATAATTCGGCAAACTGCCTACAAATGTTCTTATTTGAAATTGTCATTTGTGAGAATTGTCATGTCAGTTGTCTTAGTCAGAAACTGTCAAATGCCACAGACTAAACTGAAAAACAAATATATTTTTAAATATATGTTCAACTGCATTCAAATATCATTAAGACGATATTTATTTGTAGGCAAACCACGATACCCTCGGCCCACGGGTTATACCACTGTGGGGTAAACCAATGAGGGAACCCATACGAGGTCTTCTGTGGGAGCCAATGGTTGGCAGCCGGTCGTTGTGTAATACAAGTGACTCGTAAGGTATTGAGCGGTCACGTCCCGCACCTCTTAAATGACTGTACCCCTTTTACTTCGTGGACAAAGGCTCCCTTATGTGGGTTGCTTATAAGTAACTTGCTCTTTTGTTATAAGTCTTTGCCTGTGACTTGTTCAGAACATCAGAATTACTCTCAGAGAGAAACGTATAAATTCTGTTAAAAAAACACATATAGTATTTTTTGCCTACGTTGCAGACTTTTCACTTTATTTACGTAGATAACTAAAGCAGATTCATCTGTCGGTCTTCGCTCAACTGCAAACAAAAAATCATTCACATCATACAATGGTATAAAATAATAAAGATCAATACCCCACAATAATACTTTGAGATAATGATTAAACTTAAAAATTGAAAAGTTATAGAAGGGAATAAGTATTGAATAAAGAGTATTTAGGAACATTTATATCCCTGACTTTGCAATTATAGTAAGTTAACCTTTAGAAAGAAATCTGGCATTCTTCCAAGAACATTCTATTTCAGATAGCATTTCACGCCTGAATTCGTTTCATTCATCAGTCAGATTCAGGTGTTCATTCAAAATCGATTGGATGCAAACAGCTGGCTTCCATGGAGCCCTTCCTATTTCAAAACACCTATGTCATGTAAGGATCTCGAATAGCTTTTCTTCAGGGGAAAGCGATACCCGAAATCTGTGTACCTCTGCTGTTGTAACCCTGAAAAAACCAGCATCTAACCTCCAACTTTCCCCCTTTTTGTCATTGGTTCAAGCTAAAGGATGTCTTAGAAACTTTTAGATATTAATTTAATGTAGCAGATTAATTGATAAATAACATATTGGTATTGTGAAAGCCAACAGAGTTGATGTTAGTAATGAAAATAGGAGTGACGATTGTTAGATGTCAATGTGAGCTATGGTTATTATTGTAAAAATAAGTAAAAGTATTCACTGTAATTGATAAAATTATTAGGGTATTTAAATTGTATAAACTATAAATAATCAGCTCTATAGAAATTAGACATCAACCATGATATTTTACAATAATAGAAATGAAACATTAGATAAAATAATACTCTGTTTATTTTCTTGTACAAAATAAATAAATTAAAATAACATACAATATTTCCTTTTATTAACCAATGCACATCAAAAGTAAAAATAGTGTGCTTTATTAAATACTGATACTTTTCTACAAAGCATTTTCTATTTTTCATTCAGGTACTGACCCATATGAAATTACAAGCAAATAAACACAAGTTTAAAAACTATTTACTAACATAGTAGGAATCATCTCAAGAATTGTGCTAATATAATAAATAACAAATGTAAATAATTGTACTTAAAAGATATTTTATATCTTTTAGATGTAATACACTAAATCACAGGAGTTTTAAAAAAGTATTATAAAAATATATTGGTACAATATTTACTTATATGTGTATCCATATAATATTTAATATCCATTTATATATAATTTACTAATGGTGAATAAAGATTCATATATTCATTAACTTAACAGATCTATTATCAATATGTAGGATTAAGTTTTCCTTTTCCATGTGCTTCATATAAGCAAGAAAACATGTCCATAAAAGACTACATACACTGATAAATGGTACCCTGTTTTTCGGAGGTATGAGGTAAAAATTTACCATAGCTACAACTGGCCATATAGATGCTCCAACCTGAAATAAATGTAATACATTTTTTTCTTTATGTTAACAACAGATATAACATAATTAAAATAATAATTTGTGTTACTTTAAAAAAAATATTGGATAGTTGAGCATTCTGGGCATTTCTTATATATATAAAATTTCATAATATCTTACCCGATAGGTAGGCCAAAACTTGTTTTGTACTTCTGCAATAGCTTCATTGAGAGGTTTTGACTCCAAAAGACTCATCCCAAAATAAAAACTGCACATCGCAAATGGAGTATAGGTGATTGTTTCAAAGAATGTCTGGAAAATAATAAGAAATAATTAAAGTGTTTAATATATACAGGGTGACTGGTGAATTACTATCAATATTTAAGGAGAATACTCGGTACATGATTCTCATTCGAATTATGTAAAAAAAATAGGTACTTAATTTTTGACCAAATTTCCGTATAAATAAATAAAGTGTGGACACGTTCCAAGTGTGGACGCGTGCGGCGGCGTGCTGATACAACACCACGCTGCCGCACGCGTGTGTGTGTGTGTGTATACCTAATCTGTAGGGTGTTCACACGATGCGTAATTAATTACATAACTTTTGGTTAACTTTACTTAGAAGTTTATTAATATTTATGTTATATTAATTTTTATTTTGTCATATATGATCGTCAAATATCACATCCTCAAGTATCGATAGTCACCCCGTATATTGTCCTTGTTTACTCTATTACCTTGGTGGTACAAAAAAGATTTGTCACATAATTAATTAATGTCAACAAAATATAAACATTCTAGAATTTTTATATACAGTGAACCCCTAGTAATCCGGCCCCTGTCTAATCCAGCACCCCCTGTAATCCGACATGATCTATTATTTATTATTAATTACATATTTTGTATTCGCAAAAGCCTGATTGAACAAGTTACAACATGTACGACCAACACTATTGTGCTTGACGCATAGGGTATTGTTTTGATTCTGATGTATTTATATTATGAAATAATCTTATCAGTGAATTTGTAATTTGACAGATTACAAGGTACTCTTTTGAAAAAAAATCCGGACTATAGGGGGTCTTAGGCAGTACTCTATAATCCGACGAATTTGATAGTTCGACACTGCCCTGCAAAATGTTTGTCGGATTACCGGGGGTCCACTGTAGTTTGTTTTATTTATGTTTTACTTGAAAATAACATTGTATTTCAGACACTTAGAGGTGTCTTTAGATGTATAATAGAATTATATTGACTTACCTTGATAATTGCAATCTTAAATGCAGTCCCTGGCCACATTATATTAGCTATAGTGAACCAGCTGTATATAGTAGGAGCCACATAACATGAGCCATATAAACCATATCTAGCACACCTCATCCAGTCATATTTATTATTTGAATCTAAAAAAAAATATCCCACATACAGAGAAAACAGAGAGAAATTTGAAGACACAATAAAAAATACTTACCAAAAGATTTCCCTTCAAATGTTTGTTGGATGAAACTAGAAATTGGCCAAATGACACCATAAGATGCCATTCCTCGAAGCAAAGGATATTTATTAAACACTAATATAATATTTTTACTTAAAACCGACATTTCAGCAAAATTTGTAAAAAGCGTTTTAATAATTTAAGAACACTTATATAACGACGACGTGTTTGGTATAAATGAAAACTATTTTAAAATAGTTAGTAATGTTTTGTATTTGACGTAGTGCCAGGAACTGCCTAACACGTGTAATAGACATTTAATTTTCAATTAAAAATAGAAATCCTTCAGACATCGTGTTATTGTCTGCTACCGATAAGGTATATAATAAAATTACTTTCTTTGCCTTGAAATATTAACGTCTTACATTTTCTTTGAATGTTTCACATTTTAAAACTTCTAAGATTTTTTTAGATTTCTAAAATCTAAGATGTATCATGTACCTAGATAACAATTAACTAAATTGACAAATCTGCTTTGACATTGATACAACAGAAGATGATAGCCTTGATTGCTGTTGCCAGTTAATGGTGTTGTACTTCGTAATCACAAAATCATAAATTAGTTAGGTACTTACCTAACTCTTCGTTATGCTCGATGTCAGAAACTAGAACAAGGAATAACAATTGACGTCCCATATTTGGAAGTTTACTAATTATTATTTTTATTTTACAGATTTTCAGGATAACGTTGTGACCGCTATGATTGCACCCCCCCTCCCCCTCTTGCCCTATTGTGCTCAAGCGAAATAATGTACTTTTATATTAATAGAAGCAATAAAGCAGCTAAAAGTAAAACCTTGCATACTCGCAGATTAAAGATTATCAGTAAATCTTTTGATACACCACTGTAATAAATTTAGGGATCCATGTGGACCATATTGACATACTTATGCTTTATATATATGTAAGTCAGTGGTGGCCTAGTGGTTAAAGGGCCCGCCTCTCGGTCTCGAGGGCGCGGGTTCGACCTGGCAAGTACCACTGTAATTTTTCCGAGTCATATGTACTTTCTCAAAATTATTTAGACATCACTGATTAATAATGTATTCCCAAAGAGGGTTGATGTCAGGCAGGCGGCCGGTCGTAAAAACAGTTAGCCAAAACTATTGACAACATGTAGAGCAGACCCTGGCTAAGGCTGGGAAATTGCAAGGTAGAAGAAGATATATATATGTATGTGTGTATGTGTGTGTAATAAGATACAAATAATTTTATTACGCCACTACAGTCGCAAACGAACAGACAGCCCATGCCAGTACAAATTGCGTACCAAATTACGGAGGACAAGTAATACCTCACCGTAGCGAGGTTATAGGTACTCCTTTGCTGAGTTCAAAACCGATAGTGATGTTGCTTTTATAATTAATATGTCTTTGAAGGTAACTTGAAGTTCTATAAACAAGGACATTAATGGAGTTGAAATCTTAAAAAGTGTCGGTTATGAGTTACTTAGGAATATAAATTATTTTTTCGACAAGGAGGGGAGAGTAGGAGGTGTTATTGACAGTATGTCGTAGATATTATGTAATTGTGAGTAAAACAGTATATTTGGGTAAGGGGCCACTTAATAATTTTATGGACTTCGGACATATTGGCGGATTCCAAAATATATAACCTGAATGCAAGATTTTGGAAATATTTAAGCTTATCGAGTTTCTTCTGTTATAAACCTAAATAACAGCCGCCTGCATATTTTAAGAAAGTGGAGTAAGTATAATAAGAAACCCCCTTATGTTGAGTGAAAATTTTGAAATTTTTATGCTGAACACACGGAACTAAACATTTTTATAGAAATTTGCAATGTCACACACAAGGTAACGAATTCCGTAATATATTTTTTTCTATAAATGTATGGGGCGCTGACGATACTGGGGTTAAGTAAAATTCTAAAAGATTGCCTCCGTAGAGATGTATGGTTCAGATCATTATTAATTTTATCCAAGGGATTCTAAAAGATCTACTATGGAAGACTGTGTAAATTTTCAAATCATCTGCATAATGTTGGTAGGAAGAAGTAATACGTCAGCTTATAGCTTGTACAAAGATTGAAAAAGAAAAGATATATTATAACACACCAGCTTGAAGTACCTACACAGCTTCGATTGTTAACCAGTTAGAGAAAGTACCTCAAATTTCCCAAGCTGGTTTTTTGAATAAAACGAGTTAAGTAATTTTAGAGCTATGTTAATAAAACACAGCACAGTCCAAAGAATATAAAAAATCACAGTAGGTACTGCAGAATGCATCACTGACATCAAGTAAATTAAATCTAGTGACTTTGCCAAATTCCATACCGGATCTTATGTTATCAGTTATTTTCACTAAGTCCTGCTACTTCCATATCCAAAAGTACATTGCAAAAGATAGAAAGGGGTATTTTTTTAAGTGAAATTAAAGAAGTGTAGTTGTGGTTTGAATATTATTAAAAGTACGGGGACTTTTTTTTGCCGACTTTCTAGGTAACTTGAAGCACCTTCCAAGTAGTAGAAAACTTTTAATTTTTAATAAAGTAAGAACAATATATGTAATTATGTATGTGATGAAAGAAGCTATAAAGATTAATATTGTTCTTGTTAGCTATTATTATCTAGGATATAGAATGTTATTATAAGATTAGTATGATCGGATCTATTAGCATGTGACTAATAACTCTCATTTAAATTAAAATTGTATGAGACAATTTTGTATCAAATCAAAGTGATTGAAAAAATTTCAGATTTTCCAAGAATATTTATTTTTCAATAATTAAACTAGTAGATATGGCGTCGTTGTTAAAGTACTACTAAACACATTATCATGGTTACTTAAAACGGGTTCTTACTGTGAATATACCTATTTTGGATTAATTATATTAGGTTGTCACCCCTTTATTATCTTGCAATTTTTTAACTGAACTCAAAGCCATTCAGAGAGAGATGTTTATTTTTAAGAATCTAATAAAAGCATGCAATTTGTGAAGTTTTCTTGAAACTCCTGTTTTCTTTTTTTATGTGAAAGGTGACAAACGAGCAGACGGCCTACTTGATGTAAGGTAGTACCGTCGCCCATGGACATCCGCAACATGTTTGTGGCGGATGCGTTGCCAACCTTAGTTTTTTAGGAATAGGGAGAGGTGGGAATAAGGAAATGGTAGGAGAGGGTGGGAAATAGGAAAAGGGCAATCGGCTCTCTCACTCATCGGACGAAACGCAGCCAAATATGGCTACTTCACGCCGATCTTCTATGAGAGGGTGGTACTTCCCCGGTCGAGCCAGCCCATGTTCGAGCTGTAGTAACGTACCACAGCTACGCTCTACCACCTAAAAAAGAGATATTGGTGGAGTTTAATTTCGGCCAGGTTTATTTAGTCATGTTACTGTAGTTCTATGTGTATATATCGGCTGAAGAAACAGGTGTCAGCAGAATTCATTTATTGGTTTTGTTCTTCCAGCAGACTTTGTTCATCTATAGACGAAGTTTACCAGAAGCTTTGGAAGCCTTCGTTTTGAGGGACACTCACTTATTCTATATTCTCTTTGATATCTCAGCTGCAAGTGAGAAATTTGTTCCTATGTAAAGATGAGTTGATGTCCATCGCTGGCTCGACCAGGAAACGACGTCCTATGTGGAGTGGAGCTATATCCTTTGGGCTTCGGGTCACCTCACATTCGTGCTAGGTCAAAATTCTGGTCATTTGCGACCGCCTCAAGCAATTAACCAAAAGACTGTTAATATCGCTATAGTGGTGTACCCTGTATTTTGTCCATGTAGTTTGTATGTCACTCAGATAAAATGCACCGGTTGTAAATTGTAGTGAACTGTGATTAAATTAATTTAATCAGCTGATCAGGGAAAATTTTGCAAAACTCATATGTATATGAATTGTATGCAATTGGTTTCAGTTAAGACAATTACCTATGTATAATGTGACACCTACTTTATTATTTAAATTTTTCGCTTTTAAATAATCAATATACTTTACGATAGGTATATTCCAAGTGGACTGGGTACTTATACGGATACTGAATGTTTTTTTTAAGAAACATTGATATTCCTAACACTCTAAACAAATAGATAGACTTTTATAAGTGTTTAATTTTTGGGTGTATGACAAAATCTCATATATTATTAATATAAATATTCCAATATTGCTATTAGAAAATATTTGGTAGAAACTAATATTTTGAATATACATTTTAATCTGTCATTGTCAAGTGTCACCTTTCGAGGGTGATAATAATTTTTGAAAATAAATAAACTAATAATAAATTGCTTGCTAATAATATAAAATGTTTGTTTATGAAGTGTAAAGTGTATCCAATATAATTTTGGTCAAAATATATACATAATTTGATTTATGTGTCTGGCTTTACATACCTATTTTTGTGGAAAATTATTTACTAAATTCGTTCATACATTTGTATAATGCCGACCTATTATAAATGGTTTAATTTTTTTATCATTCGCCGTATATTCTCGTTTTTTAACTAAGTAAATAAATAAATAACAATATGTTTTTAGGGTGTCTGCTCCTAAACCAAAAAGAAGACACGATTACCCTAGTTTGGAAGTTACTAACCATCCTTTAAAGAGTGAACTATTAAATTTAGTGAGTAATAATTTAATATCATTAGAATTACTGCTTGAGTTTTCATTATGAGATTAGTGAAAACACTTATGTATAAGATATGACTAGTTTAAGGGAATATTATATTTTTGATTCAATTTTGTTTTGAATTCTTTAATATTTGATTAAAAGATAGTTTTCACTGTTTATTACATTCTATATGAAATTATACATAAAATTTTCTACTTCAATCAAGAAAATGATTTTACTTTTCGTATTTTTTATCAAATGTTATGAATACCATTTATATGTATAAAATATTGGTTTAAAAACTTATGAAGATATGATATATATTAGTATTTTTATATATTATGGTATTTGTATATACATATTTTAAAAATCTATATTAAAAGAAAACCTTTAAATATTATAATGAAAAATTCATAATTGTCCATATCTTAGATTGAAATAATACCTTATTGTATTATTTTTATGTATAACAAATTTTAACAGCTGTTTAAAAGATTGACATTATCCCTTTTGTTTTAGAAATTCAGTACAAATCAAAGTCTCCTACAAAGTCTAAAGAAATGGAGTTTGCCATTTGAGGAGTTAGACCCTCTACTCAGATTTGAACAAATGGATTTGGATAATGTAAGTTTAAATTTCAAATTAATTACATACATAAAGTATAAAAGAGAAAAAGACTGTTTTTGATGTTGCGTGTAATATAACATTCATTTTTTTTAAGGAGACTGGTCCTAGTGACATCACAGGAGATGTAATTAACTATCCAAAAGCATGGAATTCACGGCGGATTGCAATCTTAAACAAATATACAACAGGAGAAAAATTAACTATAATCAGTAGTTTTCTGCCTGGTGGTGAAAAAAGTATGGTATTATATTCACTACATTAATATTAGAGAATGGATGTATGAACTAATATTGTTTTTTCTTTTTGTTTTTTTTTGTTTTTACTTTTAAGTTAGTACTTTTTCAGCTCTTTTAAGACAGGTTTCTAATCTAAATGATAAAGTTAAACATAGACTGGAACAGTTAGATGACTTTGATGAATCATCTATAAGAAAAACTATGGGACTTAGCCAGCAGGAATTCGTCACAAAAATACATATGCTTGATGAAGAAATAAAAAAAGTATATCTATAAATTTTTAATATGCTAAAATAAATTTTTAGTTTATTTTATATTACATTTATTATAATTGAATATTATTTTATAGAAATAGAATTTATTTAGTTAGTCTTTTGTCTGAAATGTTTTAGGCATGGGATACTGAACAACGGGTTAAAGCATTTAAAATAGCAATTCAATGTTCTAAGCTGCTCTCAGATATAAGTGTTATGCAATTTTATCCCAGTAAATTTGTTCTTATAAGTAATGTATTAGACAATTTTGGAATGCTTGTTTTTGACCGTTTGAAAAAGAAAAGTTTTGGGTAAGATAACTTTAGTAAAATATGAATGTTTTATTAATACTTTTCTAATAAATAAATTTTTGTTCTAGTGATAAAGATATTAAATTAGAAGACATAGATTCCAATCTAGTGCCAGAGGCAGCAAAGGAAACCTGTCAGAATTGGTTATTTAAAATGGCATCAATAAGAGAACTATTGCCAAGACTTTATATGGAAATGTCCCTACTCAAATGTTATCTTTTTACATCAAGAGAAGAGTTAAAACCTGCCATTGCAAGGTTGACAAAGATGATAAGGGGTATTGGAAACCCTCTAGTTGCTGTCTATGTTAGACTGTATCTATGTAACACAGCTGCTAAACTCTTTGGTAGAGATAGTGAAAACTTTTTTTATGACAACCTAATGGAATTTTTTGATGACTACCCACAGGTGATAATCATGCTTCAAAAATAATACTGGCATCAATTATAAATAATAGTTAAAATTTGTTTTTTTTTCAGATTTTCCATCCAGCCATGATAAAAAAGTATGGAGCTCAGCTATTAACCTCTGATCAGTATTTAAGTCTATACGTACCAGCCGTGGATTGGCTGCTCTATGGTACTCTCAATGCAACTCCTTGCAAGCTCACTCTTCTGGAAGAATTTCTTGAGAAATGTCAGAATAAAGACAACAGGTTAATACACAATATAGCTTAATGTATCTGAAATGTGTGACTTAATATTTTGGAAATTAAGTTTACTTTCACAAATCCTCTTAAATAATGACAACAACAGATTTCTAAGATATTTTTATTTTAATTAGACAATAAATACCTGTAAAGTAGATTAGGAACAGTATCTATAAATATAAATAAATATTTATTTACTACTATTCTGTTTTTAGTCAGTTACATTTTTTTTTTGTTATACTTGATTTATACAAGTATTAATTTGTATGTTCCAGTGAATTACTTCTATGTTGTTTTGTATCTGCCTTCGACTCCCCAAGTGTTATTAAGAAATCATCAATTATTATGGATATTATATACAAGGCTGCTGATGAAATGGGTATGTATATTTGTGATATTAGTTTTTGTGGGATATATATTATGAATATTTTAACTTTGTAACAATTTTATGGTGTTAAATAATAAATTTATATATGTAATAATTTTAATTTGTAAAAAAGAGATATTGTGGAAATTTATTCATCAATGCTTCTATGGTTTACATATAAATGAATTGCATAATAAAATTCTGAGGCTTGAAACTTTAATGAATTTATTGGTCTAAAAAATATATACATATAAATTTTATCATTAATGGCTGCCATAGTGAAATTTTATATTTTTGAAAGTTTCTTTATGACCTTAAGAAAATCAGATTAACAATATCAGTCTAAGTGGAAACTAATAAGGAATAAAGTTGGTATAAAATCAATAGACTTTTAATGAAATCTCATATATATTTATATTCCAGTACTTTTAAGTCAAGTCCTGAACTCATTGGGTGAGCACATGTGCCAAGCGGAGCCCTACCGTCACCCTTCATCGGAGTCCCTCAGTCAGACGTGGTGGAAGGTCGCTTCGAACATGCGCTCTACTAACAACTTCCTTCAAGCTTTGGAGCCCTGGATGCAGTTCGCCTGTATTCAGCTATCGGTATGTTCTGAAATTTACAAATTATGTTCTTAAACAATTTTGGACAGTTAATTCATTGAAGTATCCTGAAAATTAAGGTGATATGACGATTAGAAAATCCTTTTTTCTAATTATTTAATAAAAGAATAATGTTGGATTTGGATGTCCTTCATTTTATAACAGGTTTGATACTTTTTTTCATACAATTCTTAAAAATTAAATTTTGGGAATTTGCTACAATTTTACTTACTCATTCACGCGAATAAAGGCGTTTAAAATTTAAATAAATTATAAAGAAACTCTTGCCTTGTAAATGGTTTTAAATGTTTAAAAATATGATTTTCTAAACCTATCTAAACCGGATACGTGGTTTGTAAGAAAAATAGGTATAGGTTGAACACCCCTTTCTTAAAAGATTATCGTTATATCGATCGTTTTTAATTATTATATTTAATTTAACTGAAAAAGATTTATATAAAAAGATTTAACTACAATTATACATTCTTGATTATGAAAACTCCATGAACAAATTATCGTTACGCATTTATGAGAGCATCATTGATCCTGTGCTTATTGCTTAAAAACCATAATAACAAATCTATTTCTAAATATTTGAATATTGAGCTTATATAGTGGGCATAACATGTTATATATATTTTCAGTCTCAGCATATAAACATGTTGCTTCGTGGGACTATCCGCTACATGATAAAGTGTGGATCGCCGGCCGATGAGTACAGCGTTCAGATCCAGGCCGTCGTTAACAGATTATTGAAACACGTTCCAGATGTTGAGGAGTTGTTCCTTATGGTGAGGGTTTATTTTATGGGAAGATTTTAGGCTCGAAAATTACTGTAATGCAGAGTTAATAGTGAGTTTGAGTTTACAATTGAGAGCTTCTAGAGCTTTCTCCAATATTCCAAATAGTTTTTAATGATGTTCCTCGGCTTATCTTTATTCAGTATCTTTTTAAAACTCAAATAAAGGTATCTTATTAAGTTGGTAAAAACTACCTTCATATGTTTTAATGCATTACTTATTGAAAGATTTGAAATTGTCTACCCATATTATTTTCACGGTATATAAAGTTTATACTAGTCATATATTTTTTATTTAGGATGCCTTTATGCCGCTTGTGGAGTTGGTGCAGACATCTAACGCCAGGACCGCCATGGCTAAGACTGTGTTGTCTGTGTTCTTTGAGAGATTCACTTCAGTACAAATAGAAGACCACATCATCATCAGCAGTCTTATGAGGCTGTGTTGCATACTACACGACTCCATCAAGTAAGATTTTCAGAATGCATTTATTTTTATATATGGCAACCAATTATGATGATTATTATAGAAGAAAAAATTGTATTATTGTTCTAAAAACAACTAGCATAACTATTTTTCTAGTTCTAAATAGTTTAACAGTTAGTAAAAACAAAATCATTGCCTCTACTGTTTGTAAGCGTTTTTGAAACTAAAAACAGTGAACAATTTTAACCACGGTACTTCACCTTGAAAAAAACTGGCTAAGACGATACTAAAGACTTAAAAAAATCTAAATAACTGATGTAACTCCATTTCGTTTGTACTAATGAAATCAGTTTTAGGAATATCCACATGTTAGTATGGATAAAAGTATTTAATATCATATATATTTAATATACAGCGCCGTGACAGTTGAAGACGAGAGCAAACTTGTCGCTGAACTGATAAACAAGTTCATCCTGGCGGTGTCTTATCAGGATGACCTTGAACAGCAGTTGAACTTCTACGTGGACTGCAGGGCGGCCTTCATTAAACTGGATTCAGTGCTAGTGACCTTGATACATGTTAGTAATACATTACTAGTATCTTAATTATTATAATAAGTAATCAATCTATCTCAAGAAACTTATTTATTGTCAATGATAGTTTATAATGGGAAATGTAATGAATATTTTGAATTTAATATTATTATGCTGTAATAAATCTTCACTATATGAATCGTACTGTCATCCAAAAATTAACCCTCAGTGCCTAGTATAAGGTTCACTGCTGACAATGAACTAAAATATATATGCGTTCTCAGCATTTCTGTAATGTATATAACAATGTATGTATGTGCTATGTGTATATTGTTGCTGGTGTTTGTACGTGTAGTGTGTAAGCGCACTGTGGTCCCGTGCGGGCGCGTCGTGTGGTCGCGGCGCGGCGCGTGCGTGCGGTGCGTACGTGTTCGTAACGAGCCCGTCCCTGCAGTGTCCGCTCACCCGCGCTTCATTGACGCTCCAGGCTGCGCAACTGTCTTTATTAAACTGCTGCCAGGGACAAGGTGATTGAAAATTTTTAATCTCGATATAAAATTATTAAGAAATAATTTATTCGTGTATGGAAAGTCATTATATTATTATATTATATTATTATATTATCAGTATGTGGTTCTTTCTTGTTTAATTTAGTATTTTTTCTAAATTCCCATAAATTCAGCCCACTTTTCCTCACCTATCTTAGTTTACTGTCACTTTTAAGTCAATATACCTAACAGAGAAGTTAATTTTTATTTGATGATGTATTTATGCAAAATGATTAATGATGTTAAATAAGGTTCTACAAATTTTGTATTTATTTTTTATGAACAGCTGAAGCGAATTTAAAATCATTCGTGAGTTTGATACCAGAGATACCGCAGTACATTCAAGAGGACGCACAGAAGAAACCTACTCATGATAGAGTACTCGGTTTAATAAGTAATTTTCTGTCTACATTACTTATTTTGCCGGTGAGTATCGCTTATATGTATTTATCACGGTTTTAACTAAACTGGCTCAACTCTGATATTCAGTAAAAAAAACACCATAGATAAACGACATTAAATTAATTCTGAAATCTTAAAATTGTTCGGAAATCCATAACATTATTAGATTTTGAATACTATAATTCAAGTCGAATCTTGTGAAGTCAAAGGTATTTTTTTTAATAGCATGTAATCTATAATTTATAAACAACAGATTAAATAACGTGTATTCTGTATTTTTATTGAACAACGGTCAAAAAAGTTCCATTAAGTTTAATAAAAGTATTTATGGATATTTACTTTCATATAAAGACAAACATAATTAAAATATGATTTATTACTTGGAACAGAATACTATACCATAGATCTAGATTATATAGATATAGTCAGTGGTATCCTCGTGGTTAAAAGGCCCGCATCTGATGCACGAGGGCGCGGGTTCGATCTGGCAAGTACCAATTTGATTTTTCCGAGTCATATGTACTTTCTAAGAGTATTTAGGCACCACTGACGGACGGTGAAGGAAAACATCGTGAGGAAACTTGGACTTATAATTTCACAATTATAAGTTTGAAATCGCCAACCCGTCTTGAGCAAGCGTGGTGATTAGTGCTCAAACCTTCTCCATGTGAGAAAGAGACCTTTGCTCAGCAGTGGTCTCTTATAGGCTGATGACATCTAGATTAAAAACATCGTTTTAATCAAATGTTTCTCGGAGACTTCCCAGTTTTTCATCTCATCTGTCCGTAAGGGGCTGTCCATTAATCACGTGAGGCTTGAAAGGGGGGGGAGGGGTTTGATAAAAATCACGAAAATAACACAAGGGGGAGGGGGGGGGGGTGTAGTAAGATATCTCGTGTATTTATTTTTTCGTCTAACGCGCCTTTTTTAAACAAATATTAATTTATTATGGTCCTTAATTTCAGAATAAAATAAGATTATAGTTTATACCTGTATTTAAATTAAGATAATATTCAGAAAATTTTAAGATTCGTTGTAGGTACTAAAAATATACGTGATGTTGAGAAGGGGGGGGGGGTGGTCTTAAACCTCACTACGTATCACCAATGGGGGCGGGGGGGTTAAAAAATGCTAAAAAAAGATCACGTGATTAATGGACAACCCCTAATCATGGTTGTTGAAATCACTTTTGAAAAGTCTGGATTATTTAGTTTGAAATAATAAAAAAAACACGTAGTCATCCGAAAATATTAGTATTATTTAGACTTACTAGAAATAATTTTGACATTTTCCGTTAATGAACCCTCTTTGTAATTTTTTCCACTTTCAATACATTAATATTTAAATATAACAGAACTGGTGAGAAACGAAAAATAATGTTCTGTAATTTTAAAGGGAAGAAATTTTGTTCGACATAAACAAATTGTAATTGTGTTCTTGTTGATGTTAAATGTGCCAGATAGCAATAAAATGCAAAGTTATTAACAGTTTCCTGTGAACATTATTTAAGATTCAAAAAGCTGCCAACATTTTTACTACACCGGATATAGATTCGAGATAAATACATTATGTCCTGTGATGTACTTTATTACATTAATACATCTGTGATAAAATAAAATATAAAGTGTTATTGTAGAGTAAATATCATGTTTTACCGACGATAAAAATTAAAAAATAATAATAAAAGAATTGTTAAAATAAGCCAGTTTAAGATAGGACCAATTTTTTTCCACAAAGGTCATCAACGGTTAGGTACTCTTTAAATTTCGAATGCACCTTGTTAGGTATGTCCAGTTTTATTTGCGAAATTTTTAAAATCCATTTCATTTCTGTTTTCAAATGAAAATAGAAAATAAGCTAATAACGGTTTTTGTATATGTCAAGAACGCTATATTTATAACTATACAGGGTGACTGGTGAATTACTATCAATATTTAAGGAGCATACTCGGTACATGATTCTCATTCGAATTATGTAAAAAAAATAGGTACTTAATTTTTGACCAAATTTCCGTATAAATAAATAAAGTGTGTACACGTTCCAAGTGTTCCAAGTGTGAACGCGTGCGGCGGCGTGCTGATACAACAACACGCCGCCGCGCGCGTATGTGTGTGTGTGTGTATACCTAATCTGTAGGGTGTTCATACGATGCGTAATTAATTACATAACTTTTGGTTAACTTTACTTAGAAGTTTATTAATATTTATGTTATATTAATTTTTATTTTGTCATATATGATCGTCAAATATCACGTCCTCAAATATCGATAGTAATTCACCAGTCACCCTGTATATAGATATGTGTGGTATGTCGTAGCGTTAGTAAAACTCCAGTTTTCTGGCTCTTCTTCCAAGAAGAGCCAGTTAAAAGAAGTATGAACAATACATGGATTACATATAAACTTTTGTTTAAGAGATCTAAGACTTTCGTGAATTGTCATTTGAATAAAACTAACATTTTCCGATGTTCTACGCGTTCTTTATTATTTTAAAATATATACTCCCAAGGTTTCGGTTTCTTTGCGGACCAGATTTATGGGCAGACGAAATGATTTTTTTTGTTTTGTTCTTAGGATAATATGGAAAGTAATAGTAAGGCGTACATCCTGAGCGGGTTCATAAAGATTATGGAGAGGATACATTGGAAGAAAACAGACGCTTTATACTACACCAGCCTACTGAGAACTATGGACCTTTTATGTGAGATGACTCGAGATACATACGCGTATCATATAGAAGGAGGTTAATATTATTATTTTGAATAAATATGTGTATATAACTTTGTTTCAATATTGATTTGGCAATCGAATTGAAATATCTTGTCATTTAAATGTCGTTGGCTAATTAATTTCACGGTAGATCGACTTCGCATAGTTTCAAGTAATAGCATTGTTTTTATGAACTTTTTATTTATATTACTACAATGAATTTCAAACAAAATTTTTTGCGTGCTATTTTAATGTTGTTTTTTCGTAGTTATGTCGAACGATGAATTGTATGGGTGCGATAGAGAATTTATAGATGTCCTTGAAAAGCACGCCACGAACATATGTCAGGAGTTGTTGGTTGTGTTGAAGGCGCTCGGGGACGCTAAAGAGAACAAGAAACAGTGTAATTTAGCTCTGGACTTGTTTTGGAGGATTATAAGGAGGGGTGACGTCAGCGACGGGTCGATGGCCAGCCTAGCGATGAACTTATGGTCGCTGTCCAAGAAACATCAAGACTCTAATAATAAATATGCGGTTTGTATGCTTTATGTTAATATTGATTATTTTTATTACATGAAATTTATGACTATCTTTCCATTAATATTATTTTATTAATAAACACGATTATTTTAAATAATTTTAACGATGTAATTAATGTATATTATATAGTTTGATACAAAGGAAAATGTACTTTATAATGAATCTAATTGCAATAATAACATATCAGGCTTGATTTAATATAAAAATTTAAATAAGAGAGTAGTTTGTCTTAAATCTATTTTTTTTTACAGAAATCACTGTTGATAAGTTTGGAACAGGATCCGACCCCGGGATGCCAACGATTGTATGAAAAAATAAAGGATATGTAACCATGTTAAGCTTTTCTTGTGTATTTATATGCATTCCATTATACAATTTTATATGAAATAAATATTAAAACTATACGGTGTATATCTTGTTTTCTTTTAATATATATTATTTATGTATATATTGTCATACTATCAATAAAATGAAATATTAGAGTACATACACATATGTACAATATGTATTTTGTTGTGTTTATTACCCGAATCTTTGTAATTAGATTAAATCTTAAAGACTCCAAACTGCATTAGGCAACTTTAAGTAAAAAAAATAATTCAAGAGTATTCTTATTCTACTAAAATATTTTTAAATAGTATTTAGCATTAATCAGGTAATTAAGTATATTTATAATCCGCAATATTATTAAAACCTACACAAAAACACTACATAGCGATCAGTAAATAAAATGATATGAGTTAAGTAAATTTTAAGATATTTGCTCTCAACCCAATGTGTATCGTCAAACTACAGTCGGAGCGTATCTAGCTTTTCAATGATAAATTCTCACACACCATACTATCAATGTAGGTTCATAAACTAAAAACTGTAAAAACGCATTCAGATAAACAATGCAAACTAGTTCAAGGGTTCAGATGCTATGGGACATATATTACTCATAGCATCGGATTATTTAATGGTCATATTATTCTTTGTGTTCGTTTAAAATAACTTTTAAATAAATTTTTCAAAATTCCTTATAAAAAAATATCTAACCGCTTACTTTCAATATTTTTACGTTTTACCGCAAATTTAAAGCCCAGTCTATCTAACATAAGTATGTATTAAAACTTACAAAATCTTGGTAATAGAATTATATAAAAATAGTTACCACAAGTATTAAGTCAATGCTATAATAAACTTTGAAAATAAACAAAAGAAAAGTGTAATAAAAACATAATTTCATATCTTTCCAGCCCATCTCAGTAGAGAGGTCTACCTATCTAAATTTTTAATGAAACATATTCAAAGACATACTTAATACGTACCGACATTAAATGTTTTAAGAAAAATGAAAAAGAACCACATTATACAATTTAATAAGAAACCGTTCAGAGTATTGCAGTGACACCACAGCTATTAGCAGATGGAGTAAGCGGACATTGTGCTCAAGACACGCTTGAATGGCGATCTCGCTCTGTTGCACCGATCTTTCACCTTCGCAATAATTACGCCTATAAAACCTTGTCATTGTAATTATATGACGTTACTTTTCTCTCGACGCAAAACGGAAATACAACTCTTTATAGAAAAGGCGGAATATATTTAAACGATACCTATTGGGCTTGCACCCATAACAAAATGAACAAATTAAATTTTTTGGTACGATAACCAAATTTTATTTTTGGAATCATTTTATTTTTTGAATTTGTAATATCTAGTATTTTTTACAGTTTATACTTTGGGCCATCTGCGGAGCCGTGTCAACAAATAATGAAGATCAGGGTGACGAATTTCTAAAATCTTTTAATGTGGACCATTTTTTCGAGGGTCAAGAATCTGGTGAGAATAAATTAAAAACTTTTATTATGATGCAAAGTGACCGAGCGCTGTGTTACTAAAAATGCTTTGTGCTTACAGGCCTGGCTTCAAATCCTATTTCCGCCGCAATTCTTAAAGTAGATAAAGAGCAATATCCTGAATTTTTCGATACAATTGTTAGTAGCTCAATTGATTCCTTGCAACGGCAATCAGCTCCTATACGGAGCGTTTTTGATGCAAGTAACTTTGGATTTAAACCAATCCCAAGTCAAGCTTACCCGTACAAGTTGGCCAAGCTTCAAGTGCAACCACAACAGCAAAACACGCCTTTAGCACCTAACACACCGAAACTTAGTCCATTAAGATATGATATAAGAACAATACACGACCTAAATTATAAAGTTTACAAGCCGGAAGAGAACGAAGAGGGGAAAGGGATTTTAGAAGCATTAAAACAGAATCCTGATGTTTCATCTTACTTTAAACCGACTGTAAATAGTCCCGTGAATTACCAGCGAGAAGACTTAATCGAAAATTTTGATGGAAATCAAAATTACAAACAAAATCCTTACATTTCAGGACCAGCACGTATTCGCAGATATACAGGAAGAAGAACTAAAGAGAATTTAAGGAAAGCTGAAGATGATGAAGACGATCCATACAATTATAAGTCTGAATATATTTCCCGCCCTAAAGTTTTTGATGAAAGTCCTTACAGTAGTCCCTACAAAAAGAAGAAGGAAGCAAAGGATGAATACGAATATCCATACAGCTACGATTCGGGATACGATCATAAGGAATATGACAGAATAAAGGACTTGTCTGATAAACAAGCCGCGGAGATAAGACAAAACCCCGGAAATTGTAAAGAAGTAAAGAAGGACGGTATGTCTTGTATGCAGTGTAAGGACCCTAAAACAGGAGGGAATTATGAATCCTGTTCTTATGTAGCTGAACCAAAAAATAATAAATATGCATACTCAAAAGAAAATAAATTTGATAGCAACGATGAACCCGATGAATCTGAAGATGAACAAAAAGCATTGGAACCGAAAAGTGAAAATGTAAAAGATGATACTGCTCCTCAGAAATTTTCTAAAGCTGATAATGAAAAGCCGTACAGCAGTTATAAGGAGTTAGCCCCGAAAGATGAATCTGATGGAAAATACAAAGCTTATTACGTACATACATCACAGCCCAAATTAAGTGAAAAATTGAGATCAGAGAGTGAAGAGGAAAATTCAGAAGAAAATAAACCAAAGGGATATGATTACCAAAAAGCACTACCTGGTTTTTATACCGACAATGAACCAAAAAAGGACGTAGAGCACGTTTTAGCTGAATTTAAAAAGAAGGATAGGTCATCATGTAAAAAGGTTCAGAAAAAATCGATGACATGCTACCAATGTATAGATAAGTCAGGACTAAAAAATGAAGAATGCATGTTTGTATCAGAATCAGCACCCAAAAAGAGTCATGTGGCTTATCAAGAGTTAAAAGAGTTTACATCGAAACCGGCGACAATAGAAAGTAATGAACAAGCAGAAAGTCAAATTATTACAACCAATGCTCCTCCTGCACAAAAGTCTGCTGCGTATACAGCTAATCATGACAATTCCAAAAAAATTAAACGCAAGAAAGTTCAGACCATTGCACCGGCTTCTAAATCTCCAAAAGTTAAACGCAGTGAGGGTTCTCATTTAAAACCAGAAGATGATTCCAATATTGCTCCTCCTGAAGAGTTTGCGGGAGCAACATCACAAGGTGCTTTTTGGGCCGAAACCGTTCCTAGATATAGCGCAACTTTAGGTGTCACCTTACCAGAGTATATGCTTTCAAGATCAGAACATGAAGATTCTTTCGACGAAACTGTTGCGGGAGCTTAAAATTTGTAAGTGTTGTAAATATTCTTTAGATTAGTAATAATCATTTCAATTGACATCAATGATAGTTACATAAATGTTCCAAATTTAACATAGGTATTGAGTGATCAACTTCAATAAAAAAAATACCCAATTTGGTTATTTGTTTGAAGTAGGTACGCACTCTAAAATGCTACGAGTAGGAGAATGTTATTTGTTATGTTATTATAAGTTTTTATACAAGTGTTCATGAAATTCATGTCATTGTTAACTAGTTTTAAATATTGTCATTAAAAATATTTTTATAAAAGCTATAGTGTTTTTTATTTTTTGGTTTTTATTTTGTTAAAGATTACCTACATGCACATGTAACTTTTATTATTTTTGTATTAAAACTCTCAAATAAATAGTAACTTAAATGTACCTTTTTTATTTTTGCAATTTAAAAATTAGTTTGCATAAAGATAAATGAGATTTGTTTTTTGTTTCAAAATATTACAACAAGTTGAAGAGAAATCTCCAATCTCGAAGTTGTGGTTGTTATTGCATGCATTTGGTAATCGATATTGAAATCGGTCAACGTCATACTATCAAAATTGTTGGCATGAAAACCGTTCAGCGTCCTAGATGTCAATACTGTGCTCTTATTTACTGGTAATTGTCCAATATACGTCACAGGAACGGTTACCCGGCAAATTGTAGGCTCTCGGACACGAGAGAAAGTTATTAATTTCAGTTTCATTCTTCCCGAGCAACAGTTCAGTGTTCTGTGATTAAAAATAAGTTGTTCGATATTTGTAGCCAATAATAAAACAGTTCTATATAAATCAACATCACTGTAACCAGAAGACCAGTATAATACAATATAAAACTTACGTATTCTTTGAAGAAGTAAGTAAAATATTGGTACATTTTATTTTACTTAAAAATAATATTAGATATAAAATAGTAAAGCACTACCACGTGTTTGTGTCTTATTCTTTATTATTTTTATTTTAGAAAATAAATTTCATTAATGTTTCATATTTACCACATTAATCAAGAAAGTATTAATAATTTGATTCTTGGGCCCTTATTCCTTTTTATGTTATTTTATGAAAATCATACTACAATGTTCTGTATGACTTTTTAAAAGTTATATATTATAACGTCAAGAGGGTGAAAGATTTTATTTAAGTTTTATCGGGATTTTACCGTAACAATATTTTTTTTTATATTTTCGGATATGTGTCAGTGATGAGACTAATAACATTTTTGGAATGGGCAATATAACATTTAAAAAAATAAACTGAACAAAATTGATTATTTATTTGATGCCCAAACTTTATTCGTCAATAAGTATTCTGTAACCCCGCCCTAGTGGTAGCTTTCCATTCGCGACTGAGGTATTTGTAAAATAGGCGCACATTCTGGTCACAAAACTCCTTAGTTATAAATTCTCATGACACGATAGTAATGCGGAATTACCAATAGATATTTTTTGACAAATTTCTTTGTGTTTCGAGCACAGTAATAGTCTTTTTTATGCTATGGCTTCGTAAGGTAGAGTTTTGTAGACCGACATCTAGCTAAATGAAACGTTTATTACGGTCTTTTGACAACTGAATGTTATAAAAAGAGTAGGAAAAGTTTTAAAATTTAACGAACAATTGAGATTACTGCTAATATTCTTTATAGATAAAAATGTTGGATTTGACAAAAATAATACAAATATGTAAAACATACCAACATGTTTTAACAATTGCTGCATTGTTCAATTTCCTAAGATTTTTTAACGGAATGAGCCTGCACAAATTTATATCTTGTCTTTGTGCCAACTTTCATAAAAATTGGTTAATGCGTAGTTGGTTTATACGAAACAGAATGCGATGTTTATTTTTGTACGCTTCGGCTTCACCAAAGCCTCAATTGAATGTTGGCATACAGAATATTGGGTAGTCTTTATGTTCCAAATCTGAATAACACTAATCAATACGAGGATTCTTAGAAAAAAGATTTTGTGTAATATTAACATTTTTAACAGAACAAGAACTTCCCTGAATCAGTTGCAAAATTAAAATTGCAAAGTTAAATCTGTTTAACCTCATTATGTTTATCCCGTCTTTGTATGTTGTTAAAATTCTTTTTTTTTTTTTAGTAGAAACAATTTTAGATGTACCCACGTTGAATAGACTACACTAAGTTCAGTATATTAGAAGTTTCTTTCGGTTACGAACCCTACATATTTTACTAAGACAGTCAACATACATGGCCGCATACTGTACTGTAAATTTCAGTCGTGAAGTTCTCGATACTACCAATGGCAATTGACTGGATCTGCCTTTTGATTTCATTCATTTCCTATTTAGACAACTTTCAACAAAGCAGGTTTTCGTTTACAAAACAAGTTAAATGTTGCCAATTCTTAATTAATATTAAAGGCTTATAATTTTTTATATAATTTATTTCCCAGTCCCCACAATGAACCAAGAGCAAGATGTATATGAAGAGGAGTATGTTGATGTTCGTTCTCTACCCTTGAGGCCGCCGCAGCCACTGGTGCAGCCCGACAAGGCAGTGCGCCGTCCTTGGCATCCCGTCATGTACAACCATACAACCAGCGCTATAGCTACAAAAGATCAGGACGAAAACGAAGATGTAACTAAATATATTTTTAATAGGGTAGATGCAGTATAGTTAACTACGATAATGTACATGTAATTGATCAATATTTAGGAGGCCTATCCATACGTCACACGAATCTTTATGACCTTTTAACACCCACCACCTCCCCTTGTCACGTTTTCACCCTCTTCTCCGTGACGTGACGTCACACATTTTTCAAATCCACTGAAGCGCGAACACTAGAAAAACAAGCGCACGACGTTTTGGAGCTACTCACACCTTATTATATAACCTTATTTAGAACTCTTTAGAATTTCGGTATTTCACTTGCATAACAAAGTTGCTAGGTATATTTAATTTATATATATTTAACATCTAAGCTCGGTTTAGTTTTTAGAAATATAAAGTTCGTGAATATTAAGTTTATTAGTCATCCCTACTAGTATTATAAATGCGAAAGTAACTCAGTCTGTCTGTTACGTTTTCACGCCTAAACCACTGAACTGATTTTAATGAAATTTGGTACAGACATAGAGTTAATTTTGAGAAGGAATATAGGATAGTTTTTATCCCAGACTTCTGAAAGGTTCTCTGGGAAACGCGATATAACCGAACTCCACGCGGGCGAAGCTGCGGGCGGAAAGCTAGTAATATATAAGTCTCGCGTTTAAGTATTTAACATTTTAACATATGACATCACAGAGCTTTAAGCTCTTGATAGCACTTCTGTCCTTTTCACTTCCATGTAATCCGGAGGGGATTAACCCTGCTATGTGACGTAATTTTTTAAAAGACGCCTTGTAATGTTCAATAATAATACATTCGGTACTTTTGGATTAAAAAAAAAACATTAAAATAATCAAATGGTCTTTCCCTATTTCATCTATATTCAAATCTATCAAAAAATGACATTTTTCCTGATCAGACTTTTTAATTTTTACTTTGTATAACTATTTGTAACTTAAAGTTTTAAATATTTTTATTATTTTAATAAATATGTTTTTTTTTTTTGTAAGAACTCCCGCCTCGGATCCAAGGAATTCCCCCACTCGCAGCGCATACGTAACTTGAAGAGACTTATAGCTGAAGGGAAAGTGAAACCCGAGGCCGAGACACTTATATTCTTCCTGTGCAATAAATTCGCTATCTCAGAAGAGAGACAGGCCAGGATTAAATATTAATTATATATTACAAACATAACATAACATAAAAAATGTAACTCTAATACTTTGCAATGATTTGTCATTTTTAAGGTTCAGTTCAAAGTCATAAGCTACGCAAAGTAATTCCTGTGTTTTATTATCATTACAATTTTGTACTTTTATTATTATAATGTTGACATCACTAACAATTTTGTTATAACTTAATAATGTTAATAATTTTTAGTTGGTAAATTAATTAAATCATAAAATTACTTTTTTTAGTTCTCTTAACAAAGATGAATAATCATTATGTAGTATATTTTTAATGATATTGTTTTTCGTTTTAAGATATTCGAACAATATGTTGTAATAAATTATTGAATCAATACTAAATTTTGTGAAATGAAAATAAAATAAAATGTATTATTTAAAATACATATCTAAAATAAATAATGAGTAATTGAAAATGAGGTTTTACTAAATCAGTTATTAACAAAAATATAAATGGGATATAAAGAAAATATTAAATTTATCTTCCTTATCAATATCTGAAATGGAGTTTATTGCAGTACCCTTCCATATCAACATATATCTTTTATTCTATATTACATAGACGCCAATACGTATAAAAATTATGCATTTTTTCTCGCAATCGTGACAGGCTCTGCATAAGAAATTGACCTACTATTTTAAAACGCCTCCAATACCGAGCGCACAATTCTGAGATTATAATGAGACAAAACACTCGAGAGACCGAGTCGGTGTCGATACATATACTTTATATTCTTCATAAAAATTATCTACACACAAGACTTTTATTATAAAACAAAATCGCGTTTCTCAAATATAACTTATATAAAGAATTCAGGATCGTCGTATCGGCACGTACCCGCGGGCGCCGGCGCGGGCCGCCGCAGACAATAAATTAAATCGACATAGAAAATACGAAACGTCCGCAAGACGCGCTGGGCTCGTGGCGCGGGCTTCAGCCGTGGGCCTTAGGCTTGGGCGCACTACACTGCACTGTCACTTGTCAGTTTATCGTCCGGGGCGCACGGGAGGCGGCGGCTAGGTGGCGCCCCCTCCCGCGCCCGCCGCCCCTCCCGCGCTCACAGCCCCGCCGGCGCCCGCTGCACCGCCCGCGTTCGCTGCGCCGGCGCCGGTGCTCCCGGCCGCAGCGCCACTCGCGGCGCCCTCTTCATCCTCCTCTTCCTCGGGATCGAACTTAAGCATCATCTGCTTGAACTGAAAACAATTATTGAGCTTTAAATAGACTGTGACTGCATAGACATATAAAAAAGTACTATAATCGATGAATTTGTTTTATTTATATATAGGGGTAATGTGTATCTTTTTGTTTATCGTTTTTTGTTAACCATATAATGTGAGTACCTCGAGGTAGTCGTCGACGAGTCTCCGCCGGCCACGCTCGTCCAGTTCCTGGTCGTCGTCCTTCTGATGCAGCTGAGCGATCGTCGCCTTGGGCTCGAACTGAGGAGCGTGCCGTCGAGACACGGCCTTCTCGTACACCTTCACGCTCTCCGACGGTGAGTACTGACTAATTTTACTGTAACACATATCATACGTATTTCATGTCAAGCATAGATGATTGGCTACAAATCAATATTGAGGTGCGATAGTATCTTTATTCACTTCTATGTATATACATATCATAATATCCTGTTATAGTTTGACACCTACGCGTCTGTGAACCCGTAGAGCTGTTTGAGATGTTGTTTGAGCACCAGTAACAGGAGACAGCCTCTTGCCTGCCTCATAGCGTCCCTAAGCGGCCTGGTGGAGGGCGGTAGTCTCGCCACCAGCGCCTCAGCCTCCTCCTCGTCCTCTTCCTCGTCGAGCGGCTCCTTCTCTTCACTACCAGTTTTTAAAAGACCCTGGAAATGTGTTGATATAAATAAGTATTTATATTGAATTCGTATTTTTTTATCAACCTGATGCTTGTTGATCTTTAAATAAATTATGAGCCATAAGAATGACTAATAATGTATTTAAAGAAATAGCAGACACAATTTGGATCTTGAAAAAAAACCTTCGGTATTAAGTTTACCGATTCGGATTTCTACTACCTTCTAGTATTTTTAATAAAATAAAAAATATTCAATTTATTGCCTCTTACCTCCCGAAAAATTTGTAATAAATTTGATCCCGACGTAGATATTATAATATCAATATGGTGTATTATAAAAAGTGGTTCATCTTGAACTTGAAAAGGGAAGTAACTTAAGTTATCAGCCAAATAAAGCATTTGATCCAATGGAGCGGTCTGGAATTATAATGGGAAATGTATTGAAAGGTCATAACGTAATACAGATTATACATTTTAAAGTACTCACAGAAACATCATCGAATTGTTTTAATAAGGATAATATTAATGCTCGTCTCTGCGGCCGTGTGTTTCTTAACAGTGAATATAAAAAACCATTAAGAGCAGTTGGCAAATCGTCTTGTTCCTTTTTCCTGTAAAATGTTTATTTATATTATGTAACCCAACTCATTGGATATCTATTTTTTTATTATAATTTCTTTGAAGCTCTGCTCACCTGAACCCTCTAATAACTCCCTTCTTATTATTCTGTAATATTTTTTGTAACTGGTACGACAGTTTTATACCAAGTTGAGCCTTCATGTGTATAAATCCTGGATATTTTTTATCTATTTCTTGGAGATTTTTATCTGCCGTGTGTGATACTGTCACCTCTGTGTCAGTGCTCATACATATTAGATATGGAACAATCTGCAATTGTAACGCATTACACATTTAATAATATACCGGAAATTACAAGGTTTAATTGAAACCCGTAATATAACTTAATATCAGACCTGTACAGGATGGACCAGTCCTTGCGCTAACACCAGCTGCACCACTTTCATAGCGCTTGAACGAACCACAGTGCTCGCGTGCAAAAATGATCCCAGAATTTCTTTAAGGTATAATTGGATCACCGTTGACGCCATTCCGGAAGACACGTCGCCCATCTCCTTTAAGTTTTCATGTTTTGATCTTTTTGACCCTGAAATTGTTTATTTTTTTGGTTTAGAAGTTATGTATTATATTTTCAATATACTTTACACGATCTCTATTTCAAATAACATTCGTTAGCATGTATTTTACTTACATTCCTTATCTTGTCTGATCATTCGCTGTTCCTCCTCTTGTAAGTACATCTCAATATTTCTAAGAACATCTGCTTTCATTTCTATGGGCGCCAGTTCTGATGTCAATAACTGATGATAGAACTCCTTCAGTTCCGTCCTCAACATAAACTCGTAATGTCGCACACAAACCGAACCGAGGGCTTTAAGTGTATGTGACACGAAATCCTCGTCTTCGAGACCGACGAAAAACATTAACGTAGAGTACACCTGCTCTTTGATGTCAGTCTAAAAAAACGAATTATAAATTTAGATTAAAACTACATATCTTTGAGTCATTTACCTTCATATACTCTATTTTATTATTTCAATTACTCTATCACATCGAAATATACAAAGTTAATAAACTGTTCAGTCGGTTAGTTATTTAAAAAACCTTACTAACCGCAAGACCCTCTATGACTTTGCTTTCTGTGAAGTCAAAATACCGCAACAGCAGTCCTACAATGAACAGCGCCCGTCTAAAGTGAGGCCTCGTGTGTAGCCCGCGTGTCATCTCAGGGTTCCGCTGCCAACTCTGCTTCCATTGAAGTAGAATTCCTGAAAACAGTATTTTCGTTGTTTATACAATACATTTATACAATACAATAAATTTATATTTATTCATACAAGATTAAAATGTTTACAACGTAATGCTACACAACTTTATAACCAGTAACATTGGATTATGATATAAGATAGACTCTTATGGATGTTTACTTACCGTGATACTTATTGAACACATCCCTAATGAGTTTATAATTGTGCGTTAGGTTGTTAACGATAGCTGCTAGACAAGCTATACACGCAGCTATGACGAGTTGGCCGCGCTGCAGGATTAGCTTCACGGCGTCTTCCTCCAACTGAGCGAGGAACACTTCACTCGGATGTTCCATAAGAGGTACAACTAGCTCTAAGGTTGAGGCAACCGTTGACATTATTTGTTGCTCGTATTGATTCTGAAAGTAAGTTATTATCATTAATAGACTTCTAAATCCTTATATTTATAGATTGTATCAAGACTTCAATAGATGGTATCAAGAAAATTAATAATGGTCCATTGATTCAAATACAAAGTAATTTGAATAAGAAATTAACAATAATCTTTACCTGACATTTTAAACTGAGGTAAGGTTGAAGTGTTAATGCATGGTTAACTAATAGCTGTGGTCTAATTTTTGCAAATAAATGCAATGTAGAGAGGCACGCTAAAATACGTTGTGATGAACCAGCTCCTACAAAATATTATAATTTTAGAGCAAGTTTTTCAAGTAATTTCTGTTTTAATTAAATGTTAAAAATATTTTTACCATCAGTATTGGTTTCTTCCAACTGTAGTAAATGTTCGATAAGGCAGTCAACGATTTGTTGGCAAGCTACCAATAGAGATTTAGGCGGTTGATAAATAATTTTTGTGGAGTCATCCTTATCTTCCTTAGGCTTAAATAACTGAAAAAATAATAATTTACAATGCTTAGTTATTACTTCTCCAAATTTACTTAAACTATTATGTTCTCCCATACTTACACTCATTAACAGTTGTTGAAACCACTCCAATCCCATATCTCTAGACGATAGTACAACATCTGTTATGTTCAGTACTTTTCTAGTGAGCGGATCTGCCGTGGCCGCTGTTATATCCAGAGCACCGTGCCTCGAAGAGTTCGGACACGGACTGAACCACATATTCTGAAACACTTCCATAACGAGCTTCCTTATACCCTCTTCGTCATTAACCCTCCTTATCATTTTCACACATATTTCAGGTATTTTCGGAAACTCCGGACATTCTATACAAATGTCTTTCAATATTTTTATCACTCGTTTTCTAACCGATACACCGGTGTCCTGAAATAAAAGTCGTAATATTAATTATAAGCTTATTC